CCCCCCCCCCCCCCCCCCGATTCTACTTTCTCGTTCTAGAGGCCGAAAATACAGCCTTTGGGACATATGTAAACTTCTCTGGGAGAGTCTCCTGTACTCTTGTTGCCTTTTGCCCGTTTGACTAGCAGCTCGTAATCATACCGTGCTGGTGCTGTTGTCCATCCCATACACGTCTTTGCTGCCACCCCGCTTTACCTCGATTTGATCCTATTGTAATAATCTGGCAAAATACATCGTTCACCCGCTACGACTCAGAAGTCTGCATGCAATCTCGTCGAGCGCACTTAAGTACACGCAGCTTTTGCGCCACAGGTGAGGAGTTCGCTAGCGTCAGGGGGATCGATAGTCTGTGTGGCGGTCACATCGTCAGCTGGAACGCGTCGGTGTGCGCCTCGGGCGTGTGCCTCGCGCGACCAATCAAAATGAAGGTTCGGATGGGCTCACGGCAACCACAAAAACTCACCGCCGACATTTTCTCGCACCTCTTTCCACAAAGTCATGCGAAGCGGCACCTCTGCCAGCTGCTGGCGTTGAGCCCACTTTGAAAAAAAGTCGTGCAGGTCTATTCGGAGCTGGGCCGCTTTGGCGGGTGTCAGATCCGAAGCTAGAGAGGATAGCGCGGGAGGTGTTTTGCCGGCGTTGGAAAGAGCCGCTGCCATGCTTGTGGGACGAAAAATGATGGGGTCTAGATGTTGCGAGATGATGAGATCGGATAGCAGCAGCATGTAGAGACCGCAATCGTGCGCTGCAAAGAAGGACGCGCGTTGCAGTGTTCATTGAGGGGCGAGAGCAGCTGAGCTGGCGATGCGCATGCGCTGCTCACCATTCGCTTGGGCAGACACCTCTTCCACTTCAAAGAGCGATCGCTTGACCGCGGATGACTTGATCCCTCTAGTGTGCAGGAAAGCGGACCTGAGTTGACATTGTTCACGCAAGGTTGATCGCACGAGATCGCGAGCGTTCAGAGATGGATGAGCGCCAGGGATCTTGGCATGCTAGGAGCTTGCGAGGGGGGGCAAGAAGAAGCTGAAGGGAGAACACGCACCAAACAGTCTTTGCGGCATCGTCGTTGCAAGGACGCATGGAATCGAGGTGAAAGCCGAACCAGCCTGATCCAGGACCTTTGAAGGCTTGCTCGACTGCCAAGATGCAAGACCAATGACTGCCTATTCCCAGGCCTTCCGTACTGTACCGATCGCTCACTGGCTCAGCAAAATGCGGCGTTGAACGGTGCGTCAGTCGGTACAGCAGGAAAAAAGGGTCGGAAAGAAGGAATCGGGAACATACCTGGTAGGACTACTAGAGGTCCGGCTGGAGGGAGCAGATCGCGGGCTTCTTCTGCTCCGACTGCGCGGACAGGATCAGTTCGACGTCAGAGTCGAGCCCTCATGCTCGCATGAAGAAAAGCTCGAAAGCGATTCTCACGATCAGCAGTGACGGAACACATGAGCTCGACCACTGCAGGTTGCCAAAGAAGACTGGGAGTCGAGTGCTTTGCGTCTTGCTTCGCTTGATCGTTGCTGGTCGGCTGTGATTGAGATGATTTGGAATCTTTTGATCGAGCAGCAAGTAACTCTGCAAATGTCCAGATCACGCCATCGTTGAGCCACTCGTTCGGCTCGAGCGTCTAAGAGCGCATCGGAATGCAAGTTGGAACATGTCAGCGTCACATCAAGGCTGTGAATTCCCTTGAGCGAGGCGATGTTGAGCCATGACATGGTCAGAACTGCCGCGCATACATACCTGCAAATCCTCCTGTCTCAGACAAGCATCGCCAAACGAAACGACGATCGGATCTTTGTCATCGTTCGTCATCGAAGGACCCGAGCGTTGGCTCGCGATGTGCACAGTCACTCGTTTTGCCTAAACAGCCCTCCTTTGCGTGCTTGAAGTTGACTTGCCAATCACTGAGCTTTACCGTAATTTTGATGTCCATCCAATATCCGGCTTGAGTGTGGCCTTGAAGGAAGTTCGAATGCAACTGAACTTGCTTGACGCGGGCTCGCATTGTCGTGTGAGCGTCGCAATCAAGCGGCTCAACCCTTGCCCTGCTGGTTTAGTCACGAGTCAGAGTGATGCAGATTGTGAACGCGCAACTAACTTGCCGTGGGTTTCTGCACACGCACGCTTAAATGCACGCATGCCGCGCCCATCTTCTGACCATCACGTGAGTCGTCTGCCCGCCGCTCCCTCCACCTTCCAGGCGAGGTCCAGCTTCATTGTGCAGGATATGGTACGTCTGCTGGTCCTTTCATAGCACCTCAGCGCCAAGCTGATCAACCCATCCAACCGCGATCACAAAGCGAAGGAGCCGCCCCTTGACCGCACACTCATAAACTCTTGACTCTTGACTCGTATCTGACCCTCTTCAATTCACACCTGCTCTACGCCTGGCCCTGCCTTCGGCCACCCATCGAATCAGCGAGCTCGTCCCTTCTCGCATGTGCGGAGAATTTCTTGTGCCATCCACACGCAAATCCACCCCGCTCGACCGCTCTTCATCGAGGTTCAATCATTGCCACAGCAGCAAGCCATGTCAATCAACGCTGCAACGCTGCTATCGTCCACGTCTCGTGCCGAGCCAGCACCTCTGGCAGAGTCTCAAGTAGGCTACGGTCTCGTCTCTTTCGCTTTGCCATTTTCACTTTGTTGGTGAGTCCGTCAGAGTAAGAGAGCCTTCGCATGCTCCACGATCCTTGGCTAACGCCTGCTTGCTCAACCACCTTGTAAACTTTGGCGCGCCCACAGCTCTCGATGCGAAGCTAGGCATGCCAGGGGCCTCAAATGCGATGCTACGCGTAGACAGTTGAGAGGAGCCGAGGGTCACCTGGTGTGGAGCTACTTGCTGAACCTGCCATGTTGTCGCCAAGCTTGCGAGGTTCGGGGCGATACAAGGGTGAGTGCGCTTCCTGTCTCGGCCTCGCAATTTGACGTGGAACTGATGAGCTCCACGGCCTCATAGTACCTCACCTACACCGTCGTGTCCGGAGGCAGAGCGCTACATGCAGTCGATGAGGAATCGGCGTTTCAAGAGCTTCGAGCATTGACGGAACGTCGAGCGGCCGCAGAAGGTGCGCTAGAAGCGCATCGACGTCGACAGCCCACGCTCCATTCTGCTTGGTCCACCATCTCCACCGAGGAAGAAGATGGAGCGTCGACGAGCGAAGCAGCATCCGAAAGAAGCGTCGCACCTCCCGCTTTTCGCACAGCACCTTCTTCAGATGCGCTCTTGGCGCTCAGGACTAGACCCGGTCCGAGCTATCATTACGCGCCTTCTGACTCTGCTCGATCCAGATCACTCAGCTCTTTCGGATCTTCTAGGACGCTGCTTGGAGGCAGATTTAGCGCTAGACCGGATACCTCAACTCGAGGAATCGGAGAGTACCCAGGAGAAGCATTGGCTACGCCCGATGCGTCCACAAGAGCTCAATTGAAAGCTCTGTATGCGGAAGAGAGATCTTGTAGAGCCAACAAAGGCGAAAAGAGTCTGGGAAGGGCACTTTCTGGCAGAAGAGGGTTTCAGGGAGCTCTCAAGGTCGGACGTGCGTTTGGAGCAAGGGAAGGTATTGGAATTGGAGGATCGGACGGAAGAGGGGGCGGGACAGCTTCCAAGATGGCTCCTCCCCCCGCCCCTCCTTTAGACGCTTTTGCACCTCGCACACCTTCACAATTAGCACGTTCTTCGAGCAGGTCGACATTTGCGATGGATGGTCGTAGGGGAAGAGGAGCAGAGACGAGTTCAAGACTGTTGGAAGAGATGGGACGCGTGCCTGGAAGGAGAATAGTGGCGGATGAGCTGAGGAGGAACGAGGCTGCTGGCAGACTTGTGGGCAGGCTGGCTGGTAAAAGCAGGAAACAACTCGATCCCTTCCAGGCGGAGATGGACGAGAGCGTGGAAAAGGGACGCAGCGTACGCTCTGAAACTTCTTGAGGAGGCCCATGCATTCTACTTTGATCGATCGATTTTGCATGACCGTGCCACCCCTTCGACACTGAAGCCGGCACCAACCGTATACACCTTGCAATGCGAATGCTAACCCTCGCGGGTATTTTACATGCGTGTCTCACTGCACCTGAGTGCTTGCCGCAGCAGGGAATCAGAACGCTTGAAGATGCCAAGTGAACGAGGACGAGCTTGGCCCTCGAGCGTTGTCTGATACGTGGGCTGGTGTCACGAGCGCTTCACAAGCCCTGGATGTCGAGGTGCCTGATTTGAAACGTGAATGCCGCAAAGCAGCGTCGCTTGTGGCGGTGCGTGCACGCGCCATGCGGAGCGCGAAATCACGCGTGCAAATGCAAGTCGCTCCTCCTTCTAGAGCTGCAAAGTGGTGAGACGGTGAACAGCACAGATGTGCAGCTTCGTTCTCTCTGACAATGCTCACGATTTGGTATGTGTACGCCTGACCGCCGCTTTCACCTACGTCTTGCAGGTTGTACAACCTGACAACAGGCTTGGTCGACGACATGCAGCGTCCCAGCACCTCGTCCCTTGGCGGCCACGCGCAGACCTTTGCAACTCGAGGAGAAGCAGCGCAGCACATTGTTCATTCGGCGCTTTCACCTCGTCTGGCTGTCCTTGCAAGTCCGGACGTGGACAAAGCGATCCTGAGACCGAACGGAGTTCCCGATCTCGCGGCGCTGCTGAGACCTTTCGAGGCTAGTGTACGAGGTCGTGAGTTCGAGTCGCGAAGCATATGCGATCATCCGAGGGACTCGCGGCTGTCCTAAGTAACCACCAGGCTTGACTTTATGCTTTGCGCAGTGACGATTCGAACTACGGAATTGGCGAGCCGACTCGCGCCGAGTTTCACGCTTCGATTCGATGCCATTTCAGCCTTTGCTCCGCCTCGCTCTTCCAAGGACCCAGCAGCCGCTTCAGCTTCAGCTACTGCTTCGAGCTCGGCCGGACCTGGCTTGACGTCTCAGATTGCTTCAAATGTCTCTTCCCCTCCGCCCACCCCCGGTGCTCCTACACAGAGCAGACCAGGCTTGTTCAGCAGATCGCCTAGCGTTGCTACTTCGCTGGCTAGAGATACTAGGCCAGAGGCCATCCTCGACTCTCTCGGACCAGCGATACGAAAGTTGGCGGGTCGCTCTTCGGACGGAAAGGGAGATGAAAAGGATGAGCTCGATCAAGAGGAGATGGACAAGGAGGATGTTACGCCTTGGTACGCTTTGGTCAGAGACGAAGTGCTGGGTAGACGCAATGTGGAAAGCCATGAGACCTTTGGTTGGCCCATCGGTAGTGAGTAGGCTTGATTTAGTTGGGTTTATATAGTCGTAGGCGCTCGAGCTGGCCAAGCTGACAGCCACCGACACCGCGGTGTAGTGATACTGGCCGTGTCATCCGCATCGCCAGACCCTATGAATGCTTTTGCGGCGCTCTTTGAGGCCTCCAATCCTCAAGCTAGCAGAGCATACACCGATCGACCCTACATGGACTCGACGTTGCTTCGCTACTATGTGCTCATCCACGATGTTAGAACATCAGGCTCGGACTTGACTGAGTATGTAGCTCCCTTCTTGCTCAGAAATACCACTGGGCAGTGCTGACAAGATGTCCACATCTCTATTACTGTGTGATTTGCAGATCCTTGGCTCTCCTCGACACCATAAAAAAGACCTATGGCGTCCATGCTTGCTTGTTGCCGCTCAATTCGGCGGTTGCAGGCGCAGGTTCCATCGAAACAGATCTTGCTGGTATATGGGAACAAGCACTACGTGTTCCTCCGACGGCGCCGCCTCCTCGACGATATGGGCCAGCTACGGGCATAGCGCCACCTTTACCGCCCAAAGATGATGAATCTGACCCGGCCATGCAGAAAGAGGTGGTGGATGTGGATGAACAGACGGAAGTGTCGCGCTATGCGACGGCATTGAATGAGGAGGATGTGGCCAGGCTGCAGGCGTTTGTGAGGGAATTGGCAGCGCAAAGCGTGGTGCCTTTCCTGGAACGCACTGCAGCTCAATGGAACGAGAGCGTGAGTGCAGCTCCTAAGTGCGCGCTGGGTTGAACGTCGAAAGGCTGAAGAATGCGGTTGTTTGACATTACATCAGCTGGCGGCTTCTCGAAGAGGCATAACGGGTAGGCTGTTCGGCGCAGGTAGGAAACTCTTCGGCTCGGGATCAGGAAGCATACGTGGATCTTCGAGCACACCATCTTTCAGCACATTGGGGTAGTGAGTCGGACCCAAAAATGGCTAAAATTAGTCTTGAAGAGAAGAAAGGCGTTCGCTGACATTGCGTCCTGCAACAGCTATCCTCCGACAAGCCTTGAAGCGCAGACTCGCAGATTGGCCGACTTTGCCTTCATGACTCGAGACTACAAGCTCGCTGCTAGCATGTACGATCTGGGCAGGAAAGACTACTCGAACGACAAGGCTCTGAAACATCTTGCTGGGGCTACTGTGAGTGTCCTGATATTCGCTACAATATTTGAAAAAGACTGAACCCCTCCCCGCCTTTGGCACGCCTGCAGGAGATGTTTGGTCTTTCACACCTCATGATGATGTTGACGATGAAGTCTCAGCCGATCGATGTGGATAGCTATCTGGCGTCTGCTTGCGCAGCGTATGCGCAAGCACCAAGGCAGCGGGGAAGTCATCTGCAATTGGACGGGCTAAGAGCAACTCTGCTCTACTATGAGATCTACAGATCGCTCAATTTCTACCAGTCAGCTCCAGCTGCGCTAATGCGGGCCGCTGGGGTCGTCAGCAATGATGTGTCTTCACCTGAAGGCATCCCTGCTGAAAATATCGCAGACGACGTAGAGGTCATCGGAGCGGTGCTCCTCGAACAAGCTGCGTTGGCAGATCTGCATCAGCAACCTCAACCTCATCGCCGAAAGCATGCCGCCCATCTCGTCATGGCCTCTCATCGCTACCAAGAATGCGGTCAAAATACGCTTTCGTTGAGATGCTTGCGCAGAGCTGCTCGGCAGTATGCAAGCCGAGCGGCCGAGCGTCAGCCAGTGGAAGACTTGCTCGAGTCGCTGGAGACGAAGAGTAGTAAAGATGATCAAGGTGGCGAGGGTCCGGAACTTGACGTGTCGAGAGCCATCCGCGAGAAAGGGCAACGGGACGACGAGCCAGCGTGGGATGCTGTCGAGACGCACGTAGAACACGAGCTTGGACAAAGGGCCTATGCCAATGGAGACTCTGTGGCTGCGATCAAGCACTTTACAAAACTCATTCGACCAGCGCCGTTACCTTTTGACGCTACGGATGAAGACGTCGCGGCTCAACAAGCCAAGCACAATTCCTACCTCAACGCATTCCTGACGGCGTTCAAATACGTGGATGCCCCAGTCAGCACTGATGAAGCAGCCGAGGCTTTAGCACTCGACTTTGTCAAGCCGCTTTGGGATCCTCAAACAGCTAGAATAATCACGCGCTCGACGCGTGCCAGCGACGCTCAGTGGGAAGCATTGGAGACCAAATACATGTCTTTGGCAAGTGCGGCAGGACTCAGTCGACCTTCCAATCTGACCCCTGAAGAGCGGAATGTTTGCCAGGTGGACGGTGAGCTGCAGAGAGATTGCACCTCAGCCTCGACTGAAACTGACGAAGGCCACGTTTCTCCCCATGACAGAATCTTTTCATATTCAAGTGCTTGTGCGCAATCTTCTCAGTACTTCGCTCACCCTGGAGAGTGCAAGTGTCGGGTTCGAATTGCTTCAAGGAGAAAAGGTTGATGCGCAGTGTGTCCACGTGGAAAGCATCGGTAACGTGGAGCTTGGACCTGATGAAAGCAGGCTTGTAAGTGCCCCACTCGTAGGTCGAGCAGCTCCGAGTTCAAATGTCGCTCAAAACTCCCTTCGACACGCTCAGATTGTCTTTGAAGCGCGGAGTAGCAAACCCCAAAGCTTACGGGCCAATCGCGTCGAGTATCTTTTCGCCGGAGCGGTGCCGATGTCGCAACGGCTGCACAAGCGAGGCAAACGCTTGAATGCGACGCGCGAACAGCGTGTCGCACCCCTACCCGTCTATGCGCCCGACGAGAGCTTGGCTATTCATGTACTGGAGGCGCAACCAGCCCTGTCCGTCCAGATGACGCAAATTCGCGACGTCATTGGCTTGGGGGAAGAGGTCGAAGTTTCCTTGCAGATTACGAATACGGGCTCTGTGGAGCTTACAGAGCTTGCCTGTCTGTGTGATGCTCCTGCTGTGCTCTTACTGGCAGCACAACTTGCATCAGACGGTGAGTCCAAAAGACTTTCTGGTAGAAAGCTACTCAATCTAATGCCCTTGATCCAATCACAGACTTCGCCCCAGCTTTTTCGGCGCCGAATAAGCTCGAAGACACACTTCCTACGCTTATTCCGCTACCTAACGGTGCTTTGGCATCTGGCGCAAGCGCCGAAATACCGATCCGTCTTCGCGGAGCGTCTATAGGTGTGCTGGAGCCCAAGTTGCTATTCGTCTTCAAGGTGAGTGAAGTAACGCGCTGTCTCGACGATCAATGTCGGATGCGTTTCCTGACTCCTCCATCGTACTTTTCCCAGAGCGCGAACGCCTCGAAGTACTGTACCACCAGATTCTCGCACGCCTTTGCGG